TGAAGGTGGCTCACACACAAATTACAAATCACTTTGTCAGTTCAGTTTAAAGATTTGTGGTGTCTTACTAGGTTCACCATTTTTTTTTGCTTCTAATGATGAAGTAACACACCTGGAATCACAGCAGACAACAGGACTCTGAACTAGCTTGTGATTCAGTACCATGAAGTCACACTGATACACACTGGTGATAATAACATTCATCTAAATCATTGGGACTTATCTTACAGGAACTGACCAGGAGAGGCGGGTCTTCGAATTGGCCGTCTCCAGAGACTACTCCAGACTTGAAGAAATGAATGAAGAGAAAGAGGAGGAAGATGCAGATGTGGTAACGACGGGAGGAGCTGGAAGTGGAGGGATGGACGAGGGAGCTACTTCAGAACCTCTACCACCAGTGACTATCCGGTTTAAAGAGGTACATCGCAGGCGCTACCGTCCCCAGATTTTCCCTTTCCTTTCAGAATTATTTAACGGGATGTTTTGAATAGTAGTTTCTTTTGTTCATTTTATGGGCTTTTTTGTGAGGATTTTCTCCCTACCTATTCTAAATACCACTTTAAACACAACTTTGAGGCCTCCCAGTGGCCCAGGGGACTTAGAATGCTGAGTGCAAACTGCTGATTTGAGTCGGGGAGGTTCAGGTTGTCGTGAAAAGGTTACCACTCATCCTTCACATGTTACCAAAACAGATGTCAGAACCAACACAGAAATCAAAACTTACATTCCCCTACCCTCCTTAAAGAAGTCTGAGGAAGCTGCGATGTAAAATGTGGTCCTCACTCACAGACGTGTACGGTATCCACTGTATGACTATCTATCCACAATATTCCTGGTAGATGAATGAACATACAGCTGGGCACAGGACTGCCAACTGTTTGTTTAATTTGAAGTTTCATCTGGAGCACCACAGACAGCAGATGACCCTGAAAGCCATTCATTTGCACAATTATGGTTTTAGGTGTTGATTTGGCATGTGTAAAAATTGTTTTTTTTTTTCCAACTTGTCTCATTGTCCTCGTTGTGTGATGCTGCAGGGGTCCAGGCTGATCAACGGTAAGGATGTGAACCTGAAGCTGGTGCTGCAGAGTCAAAGCAGCGACCCCCGGCCGCTGTCCATCCACATCTCCGTCCAGGCCATGAAGTACAACGGGGTACCAGCAGGGAAAATCCTGACTGAGGACAAGGAGGAGACGCTGCTGCCTGGGAAAGGTGACTCCCTCTTCTCGGGATGCTTTTTTTTTTTT